GCTTACACTTATATAGCGCTTTTCTGGACACTCCACTCAAAGCGCTTTACAGGTAATGGGGACTCCCCTCCACCACCACCAATGTGCAGCACCTGGATGATGCGACGGCAGCCATAGTGCGCCAGAACGCTCACCACACATCAGCTATCAGTGGAGAGGAGAGCAGAGAAGAGCAATTAGGAGGAGAGCAATTAACCTACCAGTATGTCTTTGGGCTGTGGGAGGAAACTGGAGCACCCAGGGAAAACCTACTGTATGCTCACATTGGGAGACTGTACAAACTCCACCTATATAGAATACCAGGCAGCAAAGCTAACTACTGCACCACCATTCTACTCTGAACTTAATCTGCTATTACTATTCTTAATGAAGTTAAATGCTTTAGAAGACACAAACTGGCTAATCCACTTACAGTATTTAAAAAGTTCATGAGGTCTCTCAATATAGTTCTTAAGGTACCAACAGTGCTGTTTTGACTCATTGTACACACTATTTCATCTTGAGATGGTAAGAACTGATGAGCCAGGTGGTTTAACAATTTGGAAGAGGAGAGGAGCTCCTGGGCATTTCTCACAAAGAGAAGAACACAATCTGGAAATAAAAATAATATTCTTACTCTTATATAGCAGTTTTCCACACACTCAAAATGCTTTACAGGTAATGGGGACTCTCCTTCTCCAATGTGCAGCCCCACCTGGATGACAGTGTGCTCACCACACATCAGCTATCAGTGGGGAGGAGAACAGAGTGATGAAGCCAGTTCATAGATGGCGATTACTAGGAGGCCTTGATTTTTAAAGGCCAGGTGGAAATCTGGCCAGGACACTGGCATAACACCCCTACTTTTCAAGAAAAGCACTGATATGTTTAATCACTACAGTGTCAGAAACCTGGTTTTATGTCTCATCTGAAGGATGGTGCCTTTTTACAGTCGTTTCCCTGTCACTATATAGGGACATTAGGACCCACACAGACCAGAGGGCGAGTACCCCCTGTACCTCTTCCAGCACCAACCTTAGTTTTTCCCAGGAGGTCTTCCATCCAGACCAGGCTCACTCCTACTTGGCTCCAATGGGCTGTCAGTTGTGAGTTGCAGGGTGATATAGCTGCTTGCTCAAAATACCCACTCGGTCCAAACTATATCTCAATAATTACAGGATATGCTACTGGGAGAGGTTTGGCCAAGGAACATTACTGAAAACTAGCACCTCAGTAACAAGGAATTGACAAGAGTTCACAGGCACATCTACTTCAGGAGGCTCAGACTGGATTCTCCCTCATTTCCTTGTTACCTTATCTTTCAAGTTTCAGAAAAGAAGCAGCCAGACTGCTTGGGAAGTAAACAATTTTGATTTGTTGTATATTTTGCTTAAGAAGTGTACTCAGATTCTTTGTGATCACTGTTGCTCAACACTTAGAAATTCTTCTTCATACCTAGAGTATTTTGTCCCTTTAAATAACAATAACCACGAGGTTAAAAAGGGGGGAAAAAGAAAATTGTTATGTCGCATATCAGATAGTCTTAAAGTTAAGCACAACGAATCCCTTAAGTAACAGTAAAAAAGTGTAAACGCATATACAGAAACAATTGCACCTTTATATTAACATTTTACAGTTCAGGCATCTAGAGAATAACAGACTACGTTTAACCTCAAACTCGGGATTCAGGATTTGCATCCAATACTACACTTATATCTTGTCACTGATGATGACTCACAATTGTTTTGTCTATACTAGATGTATCGCAATACAAGTTAAACACAGTCATGGTCATTTTTGCAAAGCTGAGGTAACCAGTGAGAACATGAGCAAAGACATTTTCATTGTAAAGGGCAGAGGAGGTGCCAACGAAAAAGACTGCTTCTTACCACATTATAAGGCAAGCTTCAGTGTGAAATACAGCATCTGAATTTTTCTGGTGTGGTACAACGCACAAATTAAAATTCTGTTGTCTCATACAGACCCCTGCTGGCAGCTGGATGCTATATCTAACAGCACCTTGGACTGCCTGTCCTGGTATGTCTGTACTTCACAGTCGTCCTGAGAAAACTGGAATAAAAACAGCTGTACAGCATCCACTGCCTTCCGACTATAGCAAACACATGTAAGATGGTTTCAAGCTTCATCACTATTACAGCTCACAGGCAGGCTTTTGGAAAATTGAAAAAAATACATATCTATGCTACAGAAAAAGCTAACATTGGGAGAAGGTTAGGGAGTTGGCTTTTTATTTTTGTGACTTTGTGTTAACACAATAAATATACAAAACTCAAACTATTCAACATGCGACAAAGGGAGAAAGAGTGCAATTTATACAGTACAATGAAATTCAGAACAATGCCAGACGAATTGTCAATTTTACAAAATATACAAATATCCCTCACAGTATTTTAAATAAATTGTAATCACAGATCAAGTTCGGACCATTCTCATTTTCTTTTCAGTGTTTAAACTACACACCTTTCCATTGATGAAAAACAAAACTTAAAGCCACAGTTTGTCCTATGACACAAAGGAAAAAAAAATCACAATGAGTCAAATCTACTGACTTTCTCAAATCCATATTACTTGATTTGAACCAGGTATTGTGTAACCGTTTGAAACAAAATTAAAAATACTGCAATAGGAACATTCTGCATTCAAGAACAATTGGTTTATAAAGGGAAAACAAACTTGCAGCAGCTAAACAAATGCAAATGCTCTCACACGCAGAACTACAGAGAGAAAAAAAGCCCAACTAACCTAAAAAAATCTGTGTTCAATAAAAATCATACACATTCTGAGACATTGTGCAGCCTTTTGGAATTTAACAAATGATTAAAACCTTTTTCATGGGTTAATTTGCTGATAAAGACCACACAATGATGTAAGCTATTTCAGTCCAACTGAACTCCAATTAAGAACTACTATTTATTATTTTAACAGATTAAGTCACACTTCAGGTGTAAATATGACAGCACACACTTTACATCGACTCTCTATTCCTTTGCATCAATTTATCTGGAAATGAAAACAAACACTTCTCAGAATTTCACTTCCAAAATCAAAACTACAGAATGGCTGAGGTACTTAACAGCCAAACCAACACTGAAGAATGAATAGAAAGCTGTACATGTGAAATTTGTGAAGGGCTAGAAATGTCATACCATGCACCTTTCAGAAACCAAAATACTGAGAAAAAACAAAAACACTGGAAATTTATCAATTCACCAAAACAAGAAAACATTTTAGCCCTCCTAAAATGAATAATCCATGAAGACCATGAAGGAAGACCAAATGAAATAGTGTACACCCTGAAATTGTTTTCTAAATGACAAAAAGTAATAACCCAGATTAAACTTACTTTGAATTTTCAAAAGATCTTTCTTGGACCCAAAATTAAAAATGTGCATTATAATTTAATTAATTCTGCCCAAATCTACCTAATATTAAATACAATGTTTAAAGATAACCCTTTTGAATGTTCCTATTTTACCACAACAGCTTTGAAGAAACTGAAAAAAAAGTTACAGGTAACAGCAGTGTGACACTAGAACAAAGAATACCAACACATTAAACTGGAATATTTCCTGTACTATATTCCACTGTAGTGTTGTTATCCTGATTTATTTTCATGTGCAAGCCAGAATAAAAATAAAACACAAAGCCCAGCTAAGCAATATTAGATAATTGTTCATGCATCTGAAATATACATCCTGAGTATTACTGGTTTAGTTACTCTTTGTGAGTGAGCTCTTGTTATGAATCGACAGGGGTAGTTCATTCAGATGGACGTGAACTTTTTTTTAACAAGCGTGTATATACATGGAACTTTGATAGAAAAGTTTTATTTCACAAAAAGAAATAATGTTACAAGTTGTTTTGTTTTTATACACAAGGTAGTTCAAAGTGGCAGCAACAAGCTCTCAATGGCATTTGCTCACCAAAAGCCAGCAGTGAACAGACAAGCTGCACGAGGAGCACAGTCATGAGGAGATAATCTGGAAAAGCTGAGTGAATCCTCAAGCAACATCGGACAAAGCCACCTTAGAATGTCTACACCAGGCCAAAAACTCTAAAATCCCTAAACCAAAAAGGAAAAAGACATACAGTACAAGCAGGAGTCTCCTCAAATCCAGCATCAATGTCTGCAGTCACTTTTATTTCCAAAGCAATCATGAAACAATGATTCAAATGAGAGCAAGATTAGTAAAAAGATGACAAAAGTGGATTCACTGGATTTTAAAAACATCCTCCTTTTATACGAGTCATTAGTGATGGATATATTTCATACTGAAAATATCACAAGTTCTCCAATTGCACCTAATAACTCAGTAAATGTTGGCAGATTGGTAAGGTTTTAAGAGTTATTGATAATGTATGCGTGTATTCTTTTAATCAGTTGAGTTCAGTCAAGCATGTAATTTAATTACTTGTGATATTCAAAACTAACACTGTATCTATATTAAGGCTTTCATCTTGGTCTCTATAGTGTCCAAAGAACCATGCTGTTTTCTGCACAGGATGTAGGAAAATGTTCAGACACATTCAGTGTTGTGAAATCTACTGAAATGACTATTTTAAAATGGATCTTATGAGAGACATTAAAGGTATTTGGGATGACTGAGAACAACGTCCAGTCTTACAAACATTCCAGACACTTTTCAGAGGTGAACAAAGCCTAAATGAAAATACACATTATCAAAACACACATTTCTGACACACATGGTATTTAAAAAAAAAACAGATACACCATATCATAATGTGTGTCATGTGGCAGATCTCTATGGAACCCTTCTGTTGAATGATCGATACGAGCCACAGTTTTTTTGACAATGGGGTTGAATATTGCCGAGACTGAAAGTGTTGCCATGTTGCCTCCTGCATCTTTTCTCTGTGGGTGGAGCACTGCATGTTTTGCCATCTTGCTCTGCTTCCACACATACTATAACAATACATCTTAGATCCATTTTTCCCAAACGGATAAAAGGATCATGTTACTATCACTGTGATAGATCGTCATAAGTAAAATAAGTAAAGCTGCATAAATCTTAATATTATCCCACAATTAGTTTTATTAGTGAATATTTTAGGTTGCATTACATGGTACCAACAGTACGTATACTGTTACATTGTTTTTCAATGACAAGATCAATGAATGTGGTGACATACTATCATTCCGTACGGAAATTTTGTTGTGTTTCATTCAATAGGTACAAGGCATTGTTTTATTTTAAATGTCACTTTAAAAGTTGCAGTAAGAGGTAAGTATCTTGCATTGTATCATATGCAGCCTAGCACTAGATTGGTGTGTATTATCTTGTGCCATTAGAGTACGTCTTCTTGTGATGAACTGATGATTAAACTGAAGTATAATGATCGAAACTGGATCTCTCACCCATGAGACAGAGACATTACCTGAAGAACATCTTGAGTGGATGACCTTGTAAAAAGCCTGAACAGCGGGGACTGTGAATCCAGGTTTCAAATATCAGAAACAGGATCACTTATCAAACTGGTACGGCCCAACTGGGCTCAGTCACTCTAACATCAACACTTTGGTTTGTCAAGTGAGACAAAGTGACCGGTGAGCTCCAAGAACTAATAGTGTTTGATTAGTTTGAACACTTCAATGTCCTGCACATTATGTAGTGAAATATCTCAAGATGAAAGAAAGAATTCGAGCAAAACAATGGGACATCACCTTCAAGGTAGACCTGGAGCATGAAGATGGTATCACACTCATAGGGCAGGTCAGAGTAAAAACACAGGAAGATGGGAAGTGAGGCCTTGTTGGACCTCCTTACTGCTTTACAGCTGTGCAAATGAATTGGATAAACCAACCAACAGTTTCTGCAACCTGTCATCCATTCATGACTCTTATTGCTATTCCCTATTTACTAATCAGGGTAAATCAAAAACCCAAAGAGCAAATAAAAAACCCCAAAATGTCATTAAAAATACCTCATAAATGCATTAATGTACTTCATTAAAACTGACAAGCCTTTGTTCATCTGTTTCTCAGCCCATGCGCACGTACGTTAAAGTGAACGACGGATTACAGACATGCTAAGTGACATGGAAGGGCTGGAGTCCGCTAGTGGAGTGTGCGTTAAATAAACAAGAGGGAAGCGAAGTCATCTCTACACTGAACAGAAGAGGGAGGCATGGAAGGAGGGCAGTGTGGCTGCGGTAATGAGTGGGGGGGGGTAGGGGGGGGTTAGGTCGATGCGCTCAGTCTGCTCAGATTTGATCTCCCTTGAAAGCGCCGCGCGCCGCGTTTGAGGCTGCATTGGAGGCTGCGTTGGCGGCCGCCGTCTGGACCGTTTTGTTTGCCATGACTCCCGTCGCGAACTCCTGCTGAGCCTTCTCGAAGCTGGCTCCCGTGGTTCGGTACAGGCCGTGCACCTGGATTTGGGGAGAATCAAAGAGGGGGGGTTATCAATAATCGGAACAGAGAGCTGAATCAGCGTGGCATGGCTGCAAAGGAACATGTACAGGTTAATTCAATGCTGAAAAATACATGGCAGAAACACAACGCTTCTGCTGTAAAGCAGCAGAAGGAGGTTCACCAAACAAAATGTTGTGTTTCTCCTTTCTATTTTTCCAGTGTGCAATGATCCTTTACTTGTTTTTTTATCAAAAATCATCATACAATTATTAAAAATATGTGAGCAGTTCCTGACAAGCCTAAAGGTCTCTGAGAACTTTCTAAAAGCACTCTGGCTAAACTCAAAGCCATAGTAGACTGAAGAACACAAGAACAAGTCTTCGGGGACATCAATGGTATAATCCTTTCATACTCCTTTTTAGTGAGAACTTTAGAAAACCTTGCCTTTCTGAATATTTATAACAAAGGCACTAACAGAAAAGTTCTTAGTAAACAAAAAGGCAAAATAATAAGGCCCTGTCTGCACTGAGATAGCAATGCAGTCCTTCAGAAAGTGTTCCAGATTTAGGTTCAGTCTTTTTTACAGTAATCCAACTATTGTCCCTCTGTAAAAAAAGAATTGTTCAAAATAAAAAAAAGGAACCGTAAGCCATTCAAGCCTTTCGCTTGAAGCTGATAGCACACTTGCTTCCCATCAGTTCAGCTGAGCCTTAGTTTCTATTCATGTCTGTTATTTTTTAGGATATGTCAATGAAAAGAGTCATTAAATAAAGCACTCTGGACTCTCTTAGAAATGGGTATACATCTTAACACTTATTCCTTAAGAAAGGGAGTGGGGACCCCCTCCTCCAACTTATTTACTTAAATATCAGGCTCAGTTTTATATTCATCCACTCCAAAACCGCTTTTTCACAATATTAGTAAATCAGTATTATTTACTAACAGAAGCAGAGTACAGTATGGAATGAAATACAAAAGTTTTTTTTTTTAAGTTTTTAAAACTCTTATAAATTTGTGTCTCCACATGATCGTTTAAAACAAACTGTAAAGAAGCCATGATGATCCTATATGCTTTTTTAAAATGTATTAAAGCTCTCTTTATGACAAACCAGACAATCTGAAAATATTTTGAGCACTTGTAAATTAAAAATGTAAAAGAAATAAAAATGCAAAACAATTAAAGTAACAATACTCAAGGACTGATTCAGACAGTTCTGTGAAAGAGCTGAGAGGATAGACAGCTCTGCCCACTCTGGTTTTTAGCCACCTTAATTGATGTCAAGATATAACATCAATTAAGTGTTCTAAGCGTCACCAACAACTCTTCTGTTTCAACAGTGTAAAGTATCTCCCGCAAATTAACTTAACTGCAAATTACAGCTCTTCATTTCACAAATTTCAAGATGGCAGGAATACACCATCTTGTAAGGGTAAAACTCTCTATACTGTTTCAGGTAAAAACAAATCTACAGTGTTTTTGACAGATTCACTGTAATGAGACCTTAAATCAGCTTTTGCGGTTAAATCCAATTGAGGTATCAGAAAAAAACGAAGGAGTAATTAGTTACTTCGGGGTTTTCAAATAGAAATAATTAGTTCTGTTAGAAATAAAGAATGATCAAACCAAAGAACAGAATCTTACAGCCTGTTTAGTGAGATCCACAAATCCTTTCTTAAGTAAACCCTGTCAATTAATGACAACTCCTAAAAGATCATTTTCCTCTTGATTATACCCTCCGAAGTTTCACCATCTCCCTTGGAAACCGATTACAGAATGTACATATAATTTCAAGTGTTACTGCAGTGATAAGATAAACTGGGAAATAGATAACTGGGCTCTCAGACGATGGGTGTTCAGATACGTGTGATGCATTGATCTTTAAATGCAAAAATAAAGTCACACTCTGGCCTTTGAGATGCATCTGGCTTCCCACTCCCACAAATAAAAGGTAGAATATTCATCATATTGATTCCCTCAGGCACAAGAGCCAGATGGTGAAGCATGCTTTAAAATGATTTTTAAGCCAATATTTCTTGGCATCACAAAGAACATAATCTTTCCGTATTTGGCACATTGTTTCTTTCTCACGACAGACTGTTGCAGCTTCACAATCACATGTTCCTGTAGATGCTGACTACAGCATCCTATGCACTTTGAATTATTCAAAAACAGAAATGGAAGCAATTTACTGTTAGTGAACAGATTCACACATTACACATCAGGGACACCTCTCTGTGCCTACAAATACAATCCTCAGATCCTCAGTTTGCTGTTTTAAAATAAAAAGAAGGCCATACTGCCACCTATTGGAATGATTCAAACTCTCACGGATAGGGAACAAAAACTCTGATCTTAGAAGCCTGCTGCCAAATCTTATTTTAAACTGTAGAGAGTTAACAGGAATTAAAAGAGTGCTTGCAGCAGAAATAAAAAGCAAATTCTGACTTCTAGGGATTATGAGGAAAAAAAACCTAGGGATGTGTTTTGTAAACCTTTACTGGATTACTCATTTAAAACGTCACATTCTGCCAAGACAAGTTTAATAGAGTGCCTGTATTTGTGCACTACTGCTTCTTTAAAAACGTTACATGGAAAGGGTCTGCTGGTGATTTTACTTATAAACAACTTCACACAGAATATGGATAATACAAGTGCTGACCACTATCAAGTTATTGCGTAGCAAAAATAATAATTTTGTATACACATTAAATAAGATGCATATATACTGTATTTCTTTTAGGTAAGGCAATTACAAGATCCTTAGATATTACATTTGGCACACCCACCTTGTACCACATGCAATGCCTTAAGCTGAATTTTGCTGGCACTATATGGGCTTGGAGCTCATGCACAGAAGAAATTAAATGCCCTTCAGATGCTTATAAGGTACTTAAGCCCAGTGATGCCATCATCTTCTTTTCCAAACTATGTAACAGCTTGACTGAACTATTTTAAAAGACTGCTTTTGATAGCAGATACAGTATATTACAAAAGTATTAACTTTAATCGGAGGGGGAGGTATGACTACTTAAGTGGTCAACATATTTCAATTCTTCATTTTTCTTTGCAGTTTTTGCCAACTTTGTGCACCCATAGAGCAATTGAGCCTTCAAGTTTTTATTAAAATGTTTATCTTAAAAAATGTGTGTATGTCTTTTGGAATTTAATAAAATGGGATATCATTAGAATGTGAAATTACTTTTCCAAGGCACTGACCATATCATCTTGAATGAAGATGTCTGTGGATTACAAACCATGTTATGCCAGTGAACCAATAACTACAGATTCTAAGCAGGGATTCAATTAACTGCTTTCACTGGAGCCTCGGGGCTTACACATGAGCCCTGCATAGATTAAAGGGGAACTGCAGTCTCAATTTCTCAAAGGTATGAAATCTTGATAACAAAACAAATTTGACAAATTACAAATTAAGCACAAACTGTGTGAAAGTACTGTATAGTCGCCACAGGCGAGAGTGAGTTTGCGTGAATTGTGATGTAAAATGGCCCTTCCTGCTCACTAGTATCTGTAAGCAAAATTGGTCATTTGGTCTCCAAACAAGGCTAATCCCTTTTTGGCTTACTCAATGTATATTTTTTAAATGATGCCTCACTGGGCATTTGGCTGTGTAGAACATAGTGGTCACCCACAAAACAGGATCAGATCAGCACAAAGTCAAACTGTTTTCTTTTCCAAGGGATATTCAACTAGCGAAGAGATGGGCTATAAATATGGGCACTAATGTTGGTCCCATTGACAAGTTTCTTGATGAGATTCAGTGTGAGGTACAGGTTAAGTACAAGTTAAGGTTAAGTCGTGAAGCAGACATTTCACTGCAGAAATGTTTCAACACAATCTGCGTCCAGAGTTAAGAAGAAGTATACATTGGCAAAACTGTCTCAAAGCTGATATGTTAAATTTGACATATTCAATTGCACTAATCAGCAGTCTAGATAAAGTATGTAAAAACATGTTGAGTTGTATATGTTAGTTTCATAACATTGTATATAAATGATTACAGTTGCAAAATCTGCTTGATCTCAAGCGTGCACTTTATTGCAACACAAACAGATTGGTTTTCAAATATTGTCAATTTGGGATACAACGTGTATTGAAATTTCCTCTGCATTATGAAGGATTATGAAGCCTGATAGGTCGTAATATGAATTATATTTTCATTTCAGATACTGAACAAACCTTGTGCTATTCCTACCATTTTTGCCCAGAAAAAGCAACCGATGAAAAGAGAACGCTTTGAGAGGGTGACATCAGTGCTTGATAGAAAAAAATTATCTTCAAGATTTACGTCATCCTTTTCTTCATGATTATGTTTAAGACCTAAGTTAAGATGTGCATTAAATATGGTTTTATGACTAAGAACAATATTTCTATTGGACTAAAAGAGTAGGGCCATTTTATGTCACAGGAAGTTTTGTTGCCTCTTTCTGAATCACAATGACACTACGCATACCTTGAACTTTTGCCTATTTTGTGATGTAAACTGGAAGATTTACACTTAACTGTGTAGTTTTTACTTTCTCTGAGGTTTGAAATGCATTCATCAATGCCGATTCTTTATAACCTCTGAAAGGTAAACATAGTGTTGCAGTTCCCCCTTAACAGCTAAGACAGCATGAACAGGCCCCTAGATCCTTCATGTGAACACCCTGCATGGGAAACTCACACAGCTGAAGAAAGTTGCAGTGAACACTGCACATGGATAAATGTTGATTTCATTCCTTTCTAAAGTCAAAACACAGCAATATTTTCAGGGAAAATCCCAACTGTTAAAACATTTGTTACAAGTCTTGTTATTTTGATACTATTTTAATCCTGCCAGGGCACTTTATATACCCATCAGCATATTGTACAGAATGCAGAACATCTCAGGTTCTCAGCACATGTGAAAACAATTGTAAAAAGAAACAGCACTAGCAAATTTCACTCACCTTGATTTTGAAGGAATTTAAAGCTTAAGCTCATCCTGCCTCATTACAAAAAACTGTGAAGAACAACTGTGAGTACAGGTTAAGGTAATAGAATCCATACCTTTTTAAACATGATTAATGAAATCACTGCAGAGGCTGTGAAAAGGGCTGCTATAAGGATCATAATTATTCCCACAGGAATACTTTTGTTCAGACCAGTGAGTGCAGAAATCCAGCCACTAGAAAGAACCAAACAACAGAAGACATTGTAACTAACGGTTTTACAGGTGGAAGCTTAGATAGTTTGGATAAAAGCCTTCTTCCAAGAACATGGGGGTAGTAATGATATTTTTTCATGTTACACTGCAACATGCAATACTGACCATTCAAAAAGTAATATATTTGCTAACAATTCTAATAACACTTGAAGATAGGAGAAAACTGTAAGGCATGTATTACAGTTCAAAACAGAGCTGGTAGAATGCTAGTAAATACCTAATATGCATTTTAATATTGAAACATGAAAGGTACAGTATATACAGTATGAGTCACTGATGAATCACCAAAGGCATTAAGTACTTAAGGCAGTCTATATACAACGGGTGACAAACATTTGTTAAGGGCTAGTAGGCTATATTATACATAAACATGATACAACTGACACTTATTCATTTAATATAAAAGAAGAAATATCAAATTTAACATACATTAAAGTAAATATCATTGTCCTTATGCAATAAGATTAATTTAGAATTTGCCAACATAAAACACATAGAAGACATGTGCAGAGTACTTCTTTCCAGAACATGGTGGAACACAATCATTGAAAACTCACTACTATGTTATAAAACTACGCCACGCCAGCACAGAACATGAACATTCTGTCAAAACAAAGATACAACATAATCAAAAGGCTGCCAGACACTGAAAGTTCAGGTCCAGCTCATGTTTCACGTTTCATAACAGTAAACACAGAACTCAGCACTACGAGATATTGGGTTTTATGATTTTCGTTTTGCAAAAATTGGTGTTTGCTGTCACTTCACTGCTTCAAAGCCTTGTGAAAGCATGTGAAACTAACACATAAATTTCCACTCTACTTACCAGTTGCCCCATCCTGTAATGCCAATTGCCTGTAGCACATGTACCCCAAATTGACAGATATATACAAAGAAGAAAACAAAGAACCTGAATGAGCTGTCACTCCTGAAAAAAATGAAATAAAACAAAAACATTAGCTTGGAACATGCCAATTAAATGTGTCAAGACAATCTAAGAAAGCTTAGTTTTGATAAGTATCAAAAGGGAAACCACTATATACAGCAACTGTAAATTCACTATTATAGCTTCTTACAATGGTTAATTCCTGTTACAATGAACAGGATATGGCACAGAGACAATCTGTAATGGGCAATTATTTCTTTATAAAAACAAATCCTGAACCTAACAGGAAAATTGAGAATAGGTCTCTATCTCATTCAGTGCAGTACAAGAAGGTGGGTGCTGCACAGCTCTCACTGACTTCACTGCAAGCCAAGAACCAATGGAATAACTCCAACACTTTCCCTGGTACCACTCAGGCAATCTTGCCTTGTTGCTGCTTGGTCAATCCTGGTCATGTGACCCAAGCTTAACAGAGTGTGGGCAACAGAACTCCACCAGAACATGAAACATTGGATGATTCCTCTTGGAAGCCTCCTTCTAATTCTTTCCATGCAAACGTGGAATAAATCTTGCTTCAAGGAGATTTCTTTATTTTTAATAATGTGCTTGTCTTGCACTCTGAGGCTCTCCAAAAAGGTAGCTATAACACTAGGTGAGAACATAATATGAAATCAATCACCCATCAAAGTTTGTGTAAGGCCTGCATTAACTTAAACCTATACTTTTTTCTCTGCCATCTCAGCAATCAGTAAAATCTATATAATGTACAGTACATAGTTGAAAAAGGTATTAACATTTAATATAAATAAATACTGAAAAGGGCACTTTAAATTTATTATGGTTACCCCTGGTGAAAATGTAACAGATTTCCCAATTGTTGTCTGTTTTTCCAGTCAAGTGTTCTTTTTTGCATTCTAGAACTTAGGAATGATTGAAAAACTTATCTGGATATGTAAATATGTTTTAAAAGTGAAGTCATAATAAATTCAAGGTAATATATGGCCAGGGTCATAGGCTGGAGTCAGATTAAATACACTGAACATGAGCTGAAGAAAATAATGTAAGTAATAACTTTCAAATAGTCTGAAACTTTACACCGATTCAGATTTTCAATGCTTTGAAAAAGTTTTAGACACAGTGAAGAGGTAACAATATATGTATGTTTTATATACTGTACATACATCAAATTTAATTGACTGTCAGGTGATTGTTCTTAATTTCTATGCTTCTACACTTTCCTGGAGCTAAAAAAGCTAGAGTACATATTGCACTAGAAAACACAGATCATTTGGGTTTAACTGCTAGCTTAACACAAAATTGCTAAAGTTTCAATAGAAAATGGTCATTCTGCACACAGAAAAACTGAGTACAAAAAGTAAAAGGAAAAATGTTTCGAAGTTTTGAACAGCAATAAGTATGAGTTTTAAATCAATGACACCCTAAAAAAAATACTAATTCAACAAACAGGTGGCAATTTATTTTTTCCTCATAAATGTAAGCAACCGTTTCATACAGTATGTGTACCTAAAGATGCCGCATGAAAGAGAAACGTGATAGCTTTGCTCTTACCTGAATGCCCCATACAGGGGTCTGTACCAGCAGACAAAGGAGCACGGAGTAAAGAGCATAAACCACAGCATTGACAAGCCAAAGTCCACTCCCCGCTGAGCATCCACGCAAAACCAGGCCAGGCAGCCAAAAATATTCACAAACAGTGTTCCTGTGTGGACTGTGGAGAAAAAAAGATCAATCCATCACAAAAATAAATTACGGGACACAGATCAAAGTTTATAAAGCCATCATTCTTAACTGCTTCATCCAATTCAGGGTCACGGGGGAGCCGGAGCCTATCCCAAGCAAGCAACAGGTACAAGGCAGGGTACACCCTGGACAGGGCACACACAGACATACACACTTTCACCAGGGCCCATTTTCTCAGAAGCTAATGAACGGACCAGTACGGCTTGGACAGACAGAGGAAGGAAACCGGAGCACCCGAGTGTGAGGAAATCCACACGAACATGGGGGAACACATATTAACTCCATGCAGATAGTGACCCAGGTCCAGAATTGAGCCCAGGGCCCCAGCGCTGCAAGGCAGCGATGCAAACCAATGTGCCACTGTGCCTCCCTGTGCATAAAGACCTTCCCTTATTCTGTTACAAAGGATTTTCTTTCATGTATCGGTGGCCTGTAGCTTGTGACTACAGATGGTAAGAATCACATGCCGGATATCGAGGTCTTTGAAAATCAGACATTACTGTAACGTGACAGTATTCAAATTGAGCTGTGCAGGCACAGGGAAAAAAAAAACAGGAATTCAGTGATCATATCTACAACCTCTAATGCAGTTATTTTAGCATTAAAAAAGTAATTCAAAAGTAATACAATAATACAAAACGTGTAAGAGAAACAAGTGAAACATTCACAAAAGGGTGACATTTATGAGAAAATAAAAACAGCAAATGAAATTAAGCAAAATCTCTGCAATTAGTATGCAAGTCCTAGTTATTACCTTACTGTGTGGTACTATTAACACCACCCATTCATTCTTGAAGGGCTAACAATCCTGGCCAGAGATTAAAGGATTTCTCCCTTTATTTGGATGGCCTCATAAATATCTGCTTTGAAACCTTGGTGTCAAAATCTGCTTCAAACAGTGCAAGTAACTGAGGAGTGCTAACATGAAAAGAAACAAGAGTTGAAAGAGCTGCAGCTGCAGCTGATGGGGAATTAATGTTTGCCCCACTGGATCTGTGAAAAAACAATACCTACTGAGAAATGCTTTCGCAACAGTAACAATGAAGATGCAGTGCCTTACAAAAGTAGTCACCCCTTCCAATGATGTCCCATTTTGTTACATTACACATTTGAACACAGTTAACAAATACAAAGTGATTTTTTTACCAGTATTGGAAAGTTCAGACTAAATATTTTCACCCAGGAAAGAAGTTAAGTGCAAGATGGTTGAACATCTGCCTGAAATTCACTGCCTGACTAAGGACTAAGGGACCTTGCAAATGTATACTTTACAAAATTATTTACCCATTCCACTTATTATCTAACTTGTCAAGATAATTTTGTGCATCTGAACTAATTCGGTCTTGCCATTGCAAAGGGTCAATATTTATGCAATCAACATCCTTTACTTTTTGACCTGTAGTTTTGGCTGTCATGCAAAGAATTTGAGTTTTGAATAAAACACTCATTTAAAAAATCTACATATCATTTATAATTTATCAGAATACGTCATCATTGTAAGGACATGAAAACATTTGCAGGGTACTGTACTGGGAAGACATTTAGCACAAAACACCCAGGAATCTGATAAAAGACAAAAATCTCCATTTGTTTTCTAGGACAACGAAAGATGTCTTGTAACCCAAAAAATTTTGAGCTGGAATCCGTGATAAGGTTGTGTGCAATAACTGCAGAATAAAGAACATCAGAGTATCCATCTCATTCAATGCATGCAAAATATTCAGTGTTGAAAACCAGTGACTTAACTTCTTTTGCATGGAACTAAGATAAAACTTTCTATAAAGCTTTCTGAACTAATCATCAGAACTGCAGGAAACAGCGCTATCTTCCAGAGCAAATGTGATTATCAAACTTTGAGAGCTTGTGATTGTCAGTGCAAGCACTGCAAATCTAAACTCCTGCATGCAGTGTGTCTTTCATTAGCATCACAATGTTTTGTGCAAGAAAATTCCAAATAATTATAATAAGCAATTTTCAAGCACATCATCAATTGAACCAAAATACAATGTTTTTTAGGCCTCAGCTGATGTTTGCAAAAAATATGGTTTGGAGGGAAGGAAAAAACAAGCCATCCAAGATGCATTGTGTTATTTTAGATATTTAATCTGAATTTTACACCTTCCCATGAAAAGCCTTAAAGGAATACTCCACTGAAAATACCCTGGAGCCTTTCAGAAATAGAATTTGTTCAATATTTCAAGAAAAGAGGCAAATATTTCACCAGAATAAGTAAAGGTTAATTCCATCCTGAAAAATAATAATAAGAAAAACAGCATGCACAGCAATGAAACCTTCCACACGTGTAGGAAAATGAAGGACAGACAGAAAATATGAGGCCATGGGGTATATAAGGAGAAAGGAGGAGGTGAATAGAGGGTTTAAGAGATAAAAATACACTTTTTTCTAAATTTCATTTAACCATTTCTGTTTTCCATGTACTTTCTGGAATTCATTCCACTTTTTTAGCTGCCTTTTCTACCCCCTTCCCATTCTCTCATCTTCTCTATCTCTCAGAAACCAAGCTCTCTCAGAACTGCTACAAGGGGCAAAGATACTACAGTATGTGGCAATTACCGCATGCATGACTTTCTGAAAAAAAAAAAGTAGCAGAATTCATAAAACACGGCCTGTTCCTGCATAAACCAAAGAGTTGAAAAAGATGCATGATTGCATCATCTATCTCAATCTGATTCACTGCAGAGCATAAAATGACCAATATTGAATGCACAGAACCTGTTTGAGTGAAAAGTTTATCATGAGGAAATCCAAACCATAGATCCTGGGGATGGGGCACATCAGCTCTGGGAGAAAAACCTTCTCCAGGAGGCCCATCAATAAGGCACTTGAATGTGAGAGGAATTTCTCAGACCTGTTCAGAACCTTAGCTGAGATGAGCTGCTAGAGCTTGAAATTATCAGGAAGGATTCAGATACTGCAATAAAGACCTAAAGCCTCCATAGACTGGAATGTAAGTGACAATGAAGAAGTCTAAACAGAAGAGGAAGAACACAGTGTCACACACATATGAACACATTTGACAGAGGAAAAGGGTGAATCTTCCTCTTTCTCTAACTGAAAACAAATGGTAAAATATAGAAGAGCAAAAACAAATTTCCTCCTCTTTTCACAAGCCAGTCATGTGTCCTCCAAAAGAATGAATTAGGAAAACTCAGTTAAAAGCAGAAATCGAAAGTAGATTCTCTGCACACAGACTTTCATGATTTATAGGCACTTGGAATGCAGAACACATTGATATAATTAAGAGCTTTTGAACTGCTCTTTAAACAGAAATCTCAGTAGTTGAAATGTAACACTCAGTCTAATCGAATTTGCTTTTCACATTAATCAAAGTTCAAAAATAAAACAGGCCAATAACCAATCAAATTTATTTCAAAGGCTAATGCATTCTTATGCTCTAATCACGCACAAGTACATTACTATCAACCCTTGTCTAACAATCTACTCTTCAACTTCAGGAATGCATTAGACCCGAGAGGGATGAACATTTCTGAAACTATTTTAAATTATATTTGCAATGGTGCCTTTTAGTACATTATAAATAGCTCAAGACACAGATCTCAGATTTTATTTCCAATCATCCAAAACGCTTAGCTACATTGCCGCAAACAGCATGTAAATAAAAAAAAAAGATGCAAAACTTTGGAGTAACATATTTGTAAATGCAATACTCACACATCCACAGATAATACATGATTTTGACGGTCTTCTGGAACTCCACAGGTATGTCTACAGCAATATCATGGTAGAAGCAGGGCCCTACAGGGAACTTTTCTGGAAGTGGCGGCCAATTGTTTTTCCTTCCTGAAAAAAAAATGAACGTACTGATACTTTGTTTCTACATCTTTCAAAGAAGTACCTTTGAGTAGTTCACAGACTGTACAATCTGATTCCCTATTGTCATGAAGAGTGCTATTGTATATACCAAGAGAAATGCACGGTACAGTCAGCCACAAAGGACTCAGACTCCCAGGACTATCAGGTCCCAAGCTTCTGTTCAACAGCACAGCTAAAATAATAATTTGTACTTAAATAGTTTAATCCCAAATGCTTACACCTGTATCAGCACTCAAACATTTACAGTTCTTACTGTTGCTTCTAGGAGTGTAATCTAAACCCTTGAGTGGTTTGGGACTTCAGCAATTCAGCGTTGAATTAAACCACCATGTAAAATGTTGAAAATTACAACTCTCTGAGGTCTTTAGCTCAAAGATGATTTTAAGATACCTTTACATGTGGACCATGTTTTCCTGTTGCACCCTTGAAATAGGTTGTTTTGAAGACAAATAGGGAATACACAAATTAAAGTACTTCCTGTTCTAAAAATTCAAAATCAGCCGCCTTACTTCTTTCAAAGACGAACAAAGGGACAATTGAGAGCATGTTTGGTGATAGTAACACACTTACAAACTATGAGGAGATACCCACAAGAGAGTACACACAGGGTAAATGTAGATTCTCAATACCTGGCGGTACTAACACCATTTTGCTATTTTTTCCCCACAACTTTTCATTTACAAATTCCCTGAGTATTGCAAAGCTATATCTGCAATTAAGTGAGATGAAGAAATCATCAGTTTCCAGTTCTTTCAAGTGTGCATTCTCCTTCATAGCACGCAGACAGCCCTATAATTCACCACAGCACCATCCTTTCTACATTCACAAATCCAGAAATCACAAAGACTATGGATTTGGAATTAATAAAGCTTTAGTAGCTACATGAACTTAACACTACTGACTTCATATTTTTAAAATGAACAAAAATCTAATTAGCAATGTTTGTGAAATAATATGTAAAAGGCTCATTTACTTGCATTTTTTCCTGAGACTATCCAGCCTCCCGTCTCTTGCCATTTCTGATTGATTTCATACAGGATGACACAAGGCAAAGTTTGACTGAATATACATACAGCATGGCTTGTAAACATGGCATTTAGTTCCCTTCGATCGTCAAGTTGGTCACCCTTCTTTTGATCACCAAAACAATTACAAATGAAGGCCGATGGGCAGTTAAGAGCAGGCACGAATGCGGTGTGAATGTGGTACACTGTACTTGAGTAGACTGTGAAAGTGGGGTGTATGGAGCTGCAGTATGAGAACAGTGTGTGCGCTGTGTAAGTGTAATGCGAAGCCACAATGTGAAGACTCAGGACTCACCGCCCTGCTGGCTGAGAGACTGCATCTCCCTCTCCCGTCGGTCTAGCTCAGCAGCCTTCTTCTCCAGCTCCTCCTGGCGCCTCAACAGCTCTGCCTGAGCCCGGGCCTGGTCCTGTTAGCAGACACCATGAGCTCTGGTAAACTAGGCTCTGCATCCCCATTCACCCTGCATGGCAATCCTTGCATCTGCACCACTTGTCTTGCATTTAACAGCCGTCATTCATATTAACAATGCAATACATTTCAAATAAGGCAAACCTTTCCTTCAAAACTGTAAAAAACACAAAATCAAATCCAAATTAATTAGCTCATTAAACCTAGCATCATTGCTGCATCAACCCCCACTTTCACTGTTAAATCGTACCACCAGGTTTGAATAGAAAAGGTGTATTTTCTTCTTCCTGATCAAAACTGTTCACTGAAATGGGAAAAACCGAGACATCTCCAGTTAGAAACACGGGAGAACAAAAAATGATATGTCAAGGATTCTTACAATACCAAATGATATTTAAATTACTAAATGTGCAAAAACCTGCTGTAGAATATGACAAACATGAATGATTCACGTGAGTGATTTGGCAATCCAGGCAGTCATGATTGTTTTAGAATAGGAAAATAAAACTTTTGAAAAGAAGTTTGAAAGAGTCAGAACTGAAAAGTGATCATTTATTTCTGTACTCAAGTACATTTTTATTGTTAACTATGTTCACAAGTTAGGAAAGGGTGTGCTCATGTGTGCTGGTGTGATTACTGTCCACTCTGTACTAGCATGTTCCATATAGGCCTATTCATAGAATCAACAGTAGTCTTAAAACAGAACGCTTCTGGCTACTTCTGAATTATTGAACTCCTGGTTTCTTTTTAGAACATCCTGTGTCCTTTTTGTTTGAAGGATACAATATTCAAGGAAAAAAATCCAAATTAAAGACCTAAAAAATATCTTTCTTTTGCACATGACAAATTCTTCGAATTTGAAATTGTCAAATTTAGGATTTTTAGAATGAAAACCAATTAAAATGTTTTCCTGAAATAAACTAAACTATGATAAATAAGGTAGCACATCAACATTGCAGTGGGACTATAAAGGTAAAACTATTTCAGTTCTACTACAGTTTGTTCCATAGAGACAACACCGTATTACTTGAAATTTACAGTTCTTTAATTTTAATTAACAATAGACTAACATTTAATATTGCAGTGTTTTTTTAAGTTCTAGAATTTAATTTAAGCTGCTGGTTTTATTTACAATATTATATTTACAATCTAGTCCTTAATTTCAAATTCATTTTTGTTTCCATTTCACATGAATTAAGAAATGATGGATTTTAGATTTAGTTTAACCACTGAAGAAGTTCACTTTTAATGCATGACACACTGATATGAAAAGAGTTCAGTACACTCATAAATGAAGTGAGTTCATTCCTCAGAAAAAAAAAATACTTTGGGGTACAATGGTTTAATACTTTTGAAATGTATGGACTTCTGCACATTGTAGGATCAGTTTAAAAAAATACCATAGTTTTAAGGGTGCACCCTGTTCTCTCTTTATTCTTTTACTTTTAACTCTCTTGTTTATAAAATGGAGATGCAAAAAAGAGGAAGCTCTTTAACATTCACAGCAAGTATAAAACTCACAAAGGTGTGTGGTAAACATTTTCTATAAAATGATCTGATTGCAACAGCTTCTAAAGTGTGAAAAGAGCCACTTTCACTGTTACTGAAGAAGACATAGAAAAAGGGATCTGACATTTAAAACAATTTGCAGTTCAAGAAGTTATGCTCACAAAGAGCACATTTAAATTATACTGTAGTTACAGGAACAAATAAAACTGAAGGTTATTAAATATTCAAAGATCCAAATAATACCCTGATAGCACCTCTGTTCCATTTACATATTTAGAAGCCTGTTTTGTAGCCTATGTACTGAATATTACTTTCCAGTTGAAGTCAGGTAGCATATGCTGTGTAATTTGTTAACCAAAATTCACAAAGGACATTACAAACGATGCAATGAAATCTCTATTTTTTGTCAAATGTCAACATTTTATTACAATTTGCTTGAAAACAGCAGCACCCTCCACTCTAATATGTGGTATTATTGGTGAAATAAGTTTCTATACAGAAAACCAAAGAGGTTCCTGTATCCATGACTACTGAAATGAAACCTGACAATATATGCGATGTAATTCTTATGTGTCTGTGTTTCAAAGTAATATAAATATTCTTTATACATTTAGTAGCATTTACTTTTACAAATAAAAGTTTGTGAGACAAACATGAGATGGGAACTTAGTTCTAGTTAATTCAAAAATTATTCAAAAATTAAAATAACAAGAAGGGCATGAGGAATATATGCCACAGTTATATGAATGTCCTGATAGGCATGATTTTAAATCAGAAAATAATTCAATGAAAGAAAATCCCAAGCTGTGCTGTCAATTTAACTGAATTCACCTTGATTTCAGTTTTTGCCACGTTATATTGTTTCTAGAAAGGCATCACAACCAGACTGCTTGTTCACTTATACATGCATTCTGGCGTAAATCACCACCTGGGGCTGCTCACCACATGGTAAAGGCACAAAGACATTCTGGGAGTAACCCCAGGGGTAAATCGCAATCCATCTTGATGGATCCCTTGATGGAGACCAGATCTTGTTCTCCATGTGCAATTTCTTTAATATTCAACAGGTTAGTCAGGTACTCCTTTTCTGGTATTCCTGTTTTTATTTTGGGGTCAAACTTTTAATTAAAAATCATTCTTTCAAGTTCAAATTTAGTTTCAAAATAAAATGCACCCACTATGTTGCAAAAGCTGCAGCGATGGTAAAACACTAGATTGATGGACACGCTGTCGAGATTCAGACAAATCTGCAGGGCTTTGTCAAATTTTGAAAGAAATATGCCAGCTGACTTACAGCTGACTTGTATCAAAAACTGCTACAGGTAAATGACTGCCAGAAAATGTCATGGGGCTCAGTCTTTCTTCACAGTTCCATCTCTTAGAAACCAGACTCTTTTCTCTCTTCTTGGCATGGGAACAAGGGGATAATGAGGGCTAACAAACAAATAGACTAGCCCCTACCAATATTGCCTTCTAGATTTACTCTTAAAACGTTAGGCAATTCTTATGACCATGCACACCTTGAAGGTTAGACTGGTTTTGTTCTATAAAACATGATTTGCAAGCTTATATTAACTAAGATTTCACAGAGGCCGCTGTAAAGAAAAACAGATACTTTGCTGTACTTATTTCTTTGAAGTGAATGGATGTCAAGTGCTGAATGGTATTAATGTAAAATTGAAATGTTGCTAGTCCATTAATGTGGACATTTTCATATATGTAATATATAGTTAGTCATTTATTATCAATCAATCTCAAACCACCCTGATGTGAATAACCCTGGTTGTTTCAAATTTGAATGTAATTCAGAATCCCTGGAATCTGTGAATTCCTAAAATCCAGTATGATACCATAGGATTAAAACCTAGAATACAACTAGGATTCAAGATTCCTTTATTTGCCATATACAACAAGTGTATTGGAACGCTTACGTGCTCAGCTGTACCCAGTAACATTAGAGAAAAGAAATGCACAAATGACGACAGACATGGACAATAAATTTAGACAACAGAAGTTATAATACAGCCAAGACAGAACATAGTGCAAACAGTGCAGTACCTTAAAGTGCAGGTGCTAATATGTGCAGGTGATAATTTGAGCTGTTTAAGATGCGGACTGCTTGGGGGAAGAAACTGTTTTTTAAATCTATTTGTCAGTGTTCTGATACTGCGATACCTCCTACCAGAACCCAGGGGTGAAAACAGATTGTGGTCAGGGTGAATTGGGTTCCGAAGCATAGCTCGAGCCTGTTTATGGCAGTGGTCGAGATATATCTGGTGGATGAAGGGTAGGTCGGTCCCAGTGATTTTCTGAGTGGACCTCACAACCCTCTGTATGGCTTTTCTGTCCTGTATTGTGTCCACCATACCACACCGTAATTCCACCAGTCATGACACTCTCAATGGGATTACGGTAAAAATTGGTGAGTGCTGTCTTGCTCAACCCCCACTTCTTTAACTGTCTCAGGAAGTGAAGGCACAGGTGGGCTTTAGTGAGGATGGCAGCAGTGTTCTCTGACCAGCTCAGCCTCCCAGTGATCTGGAGGCCGAGGAACCTGAAGGTGCTGACAGTTTCGACTGGACCCCTGTGAATAAAGATGGGTGTCTGACGTCCACCGTGCCTCCTGAAGTCCAGTATAATCTCTTTTCTTTCGCCGATGTTAAGTGTGAGGCTGCTACATCGCTCCTGTAGGCGTTTTCATCATTGTTGCTGATAAGACCAATTACTGTGGTGTCATCAGCAAACTTCATGATGCGGTTGCTGTTAAATCTAGCCACACAGTCATGTGTAAATAGAGAATACAGCCGTGGGCTCAGGCAGCATCCCTGGGGGGGACCTTGTGTTGAGGATCAGAGGGGATGAGGTTTTGTTTCCAATCCTCACCACGTGGGGTCTGCCTGTCAGGAAGTCCAGGACCCAGTTGCAGATGGAGTTGCTGAGGCCCAGACCCCTGAGCTTGACCACCAGCCTGCCTGGCACAATTTTGTTGAAGGCTGAGCTGAAGTCAATAATTAATATCCTGACATAGGTGTTCCTCTTGTCCAGGTGCTCAAGAGTGGTGTGAATGGCCAGTGAGACAGCATTGTCCACTGACCTATTATTCCTATAAGCAAACTGCAGGGGGTCCAGGGAGTCTGGGACAATACTGTTGATGTGTCCCATCACCAGTTTCTCCATGCACTTCATGACTACTGAGGTGAGTGCCAATGGAGTGTCATTCGGACATGACAACTTGGTTGCTTTAGGCAGTGGCAAGATAGTAGTCCTCTTAAAGCATGGTGGGACAGTAGACAGGGATAGTGACATGTTAAATATTACAGTAAAGACAGGGGCCAGCTGTGCTCCGCATCCTTTAAAACACAGGAGGGGATGTCATCAGTGCCAGCAGCCTTGCGCGGCTTCACCTTTCGGAAAGTTGTCCGTACCTCCTGTTCAGACAGCTGCTGCACAAATTCCCCAGGCTCACTGGGCGTTTTGTGTGAAGGGTCCGTGTTGTGAGCGTCAAACCTCGCATAGAAGTTGTTTATTTGGATTAGAATGCACTGCCTACATTAGTAAGAATTAGTAGTATCTTATCCAAGTATGTTTGGTTGCTTGAGAAAACAGCTGTATGTAATATGTTGCTTTTTTTCAGTCAGCCTTAGCTATTTCAGACTTGGCCATTGAAAAAGCAGCACACCCAGCACAAGGACTATTATTTAACAGTGTTATGTAACCTTTCAAAAACACATTAGAAGTCAATCTCTCCCAGCACACCGAGGATCCTTTACACTGCGCAGATTCTAAACTTTTATAGTACTTTAAATGATCAATTTTCCCCATGAGATGTGTTCACAGTGGGTGTGCCACATTTTGGCCCACTGCAGGCCATTTTCAGCCAGCAAAGACAGCAGGAGGAGCTGTGGACAGCCACTAGGGATGTCTGATGTTCCCTAGAAATAAAGGGCTACAAACAGTGAATTCAGTGAATGTTTTTAGCAGTTTCTTCAGTTATTCTCCTTTCTTGCCCCCATCCTAAATGAGTCCATTTACAAGATAAGGTCATTTATTTCACTAAAGACATTCTACCAACATTAATAAAACTGGGGATTTGTTCAATCATTTCATGTGTGAGGAACAGTGTACAGGTACATGCTTTACAGGTTTCTACAGATCACAAACAGCACTAAGTCTGGGCCAACTAGTCTAGGAATTAAGCTAATCACAGTCACAGGAACCTACTCCTAATGTCTTCACAACCCTTACGAAGTAGAGAAATGATATCACTTCATCAGGCAGCACTTTTAAGTGAACTTAGCACAGCATGACAACAATCTCAACAATATACCACACTTCAAATGGTAGGCAGTATGTACTCTTCACACATTTTCTTCTAAGTTCTAACTTCCAATTGGCTCGTTATACTGTGTCCAGGAGGAATTTCAGGCTAATCAGTAACACAACAGCATGCTCAAAAACCTTAAAGCTCTTTTAAGAAACACTGTGTAAAAACCTAGGTTGATGTTTCATTGGAAAAGTTACTTCAGTTTTGAAGGAAACACCATTACCCCACTGGGTGGCTACTGGGCAAGCTTGTAGCATTCAAAAGGCCTACTTACGGTACCTGTGTCTGCTGCTGCTGTGTATAGGGTGGTGGCTCTTCTGTGGGCTTCATGATAGCAGGCTGTGTGTTGGAAGATGGAGGCACTTTGGAAGCAGTGCCTGGGGGTGCCTGAAGAAAAAAAAATGTGAAACTGATTGAAGAAATGCATTTGAGTTTACACCATGATAAGCGTCATTGTGTCTAGTTACTGTCCGTCCAGGGTAGGGTCTTGGACAGGGGTGTCAAACCTGTGGCCTCCCCCAAGCTCATTTGTTCAACCTCAGTGGCAGACGCATGCAGTAAGAAACCCTGGCTGGGATTCAATTCACACCCTGTCTGAGCTTGCACAGCCTGCACTCTACGTTAAGTGCCTTTGGTGGTTAGGTTAACAGGCTAGAGTATACAATGCTCCTCTCGGTTCTCTGCCTCTATCCAATTGTTTGTCATTCAAAAAAAGAAGGTGGGGATAAAAACGACAACTGCAGGTCCTGTGCATACACTTTCTCTAAACTCAACTCAACCGCAGGTGGCTGAATCATCAGAGATCTCTTAAACTGTAACTCGTGCACTATGGATGTTCTCAAAAGGATATTTTTTAACATATTAAGAAGGGCTTTGGAATTACTTCATAGAAGAAACAAAAAATAATTAATATAGCTCATGATGCTAAAAAACAGGATAATGAGTACTTTATGCAAAATAGGCATCTAGTGAAGACATAGTGAGTGATAATTGCATTTTAAAGGGAAGGTATGCACATAAAACACTCCAAATAAATAATACTATGTACAGTATGTAGGTTGTGCCTTGTATTTCCTAGTATTTCATTTCTAGTATGTATGGCCCACTTTGACATCAAATATAGCCCTCCATAGCAAATGAGTTTGACATCCCTGGTCAAGGTAATATTCTCTGAATATTAGATGTAATATTTTATGTTGTACTCCTTGATTACTGCGTACTACATATATCACTATTCTGCTGAAAATTGTGTGGACATTTAAGTAAGCAGCTGGTGAAAATAAACCTGCAAACATAAAGAAATTAAAAAAATTAACTATCAAAAGGCAAGACTGCAATGCACGTTTAACAAGTTGTGTAATATGGGATCAGCGTCACCTGTACACCCGCTTGAAGGATTGATAAGGCAAAACACTCTGATGTTAAGTAGAAAGCAGCCTGGCTTGTTTTGTAGTTTGTTAAGAGTTTTAGGGCCAGATACACAATGAGACTGCAACCAAGTTGTAAACCTGCCAGGTTTGGGACTGTACAAATGCAAAGCTATTTACAAGGTTTCAGGAAATGTTTTATAGGCAATTCATCTTTGCCACCAAGCCAGTGATGAATATTTTATTTGGAGCGTCTTTGCAAAAAAAAAAACAGGCTGCAAAATTGGTTTGTGCAAATGAGGTTCCTCAAATATTAAAATAATACACTAAAGCTGAAGGCAACTGTGACACTTGAAATATTGGTCAATCTGTTCTGAACTTAGGAAAGAGTGTCTTACATGGAAGAGGGATGGGATCAATCCTGAGGAGGAAAAAGCAGCAACAAGTAAATTGCACAATAAGAAAAGAAAGCTCACGATCGCGCTTGTGTTATCAATTGTGCTTCATGCTTTACTGAGCTTTACTATCCTCCCTAAAACCAAGATTGACCTACACTCTTGTAAAGAAATCTCTGTGTAATTTCTGGTTCCTCCAACAACCTCCTGTTCTTTCTATAGATACATATTATATGAATGTGCATTGGTATGTGACTAACACTGAAAAATTACTTTATCTCCTAGACAAATATCCATGGTGAGTTCTTGACTGGTTTATTCTTATGACCAGTTACACGTACATTTTTATCAAATTGAGGAAGAAAAATGTGGACTTTGAAACTCCTCATCAGAAAAACATTATTTTATAGCCTTTCTCTCCTCTCTAACACTACTGTGTGGCTGTTGCCCGGGTGGGGGAAAAAAATGAAAATTGCTCCCAAGTTTTATTCATCCTCTGAAACACACAGGCTATAGACATCAGGTTACCAACCAATAACTTTCCTCAGTTTATTCAAAGAATGTTCACAAATCTCATGCAATGTTTATATTGTTATACTGTCCCATCCATCCATTTTCTAACCACTCAATCCAATACAGGGGTGCGGTGGAGACTGAGTCTATCCTGGCAAACAACGGGCGTAAAGCAAGATACACCCTGGATGGGACACTACTACTAGTATCTCTACTAGCATCTCTTTGGACTATTAGAGGAAACCGGATCACCCAGAGGTAACCCACACACACACGGGGAGAACATACAAACTCCACACAGACAGCCCAGGTCTGGAACTGAACTTGGGGTCCGAGCTCTGTGAAGGAGCAATACTAACTAATGCACCAAGATGCTGCCCTTCCCATAGTGCATCAACAGATACTTCAATTTGTATAATTAACGTTTTTATCCTACGCAACACTCATGCAATCAGTGCTTTGTGAAGTGTCCTCACAAAACCATTAATGACAATATGTTGCATTGATTGATCTTTCACAGTAGATCTGATTCCTAATGTTTTTAATTGTGATATCACCTGATGAAAAACAGTCACTGAGAATGAAGAGGCTTAAAAACTCTGTAACACATTCTGAATTTGTGACCAGTTTGTGATTTTCTTTGAGTAGAAAAGATGGGATGGTGAAACCGTCTTGAAAATGTCTATGTTGATTCATTATTTGAAAAGGGGTTTTCAAACTTAACCTAAAATAATTATCCTTTGTAAAAAGCTTAAGCTTTTGGACATGGCATGACTGTCGCTACCCCTTCCTGTATGTCATTTGCTGTGCATCCATTTCATACTGAAAGCCCAGAGAAGCAAGGGGATGTGATTCTGAATGATGACCTGTCACAACCAAAACAACACCAAGACCAAAACATAAAATGCATTTTGCAGTAGCACAAATCACCAACATACAGTACATAAAAATGGATTCTGTTTTGCCTTCAGGGAGAAAAAGTAAGTACATATTGATTTTACCAGAAAAAGACAAATATCTGATTTACACAATTTAAGACTTTCGTCTCAGTCACCAAAGCAGAGCTGGAGGCCTAGGCAGCTTGTGAAAACCAGGCCAGGTCTGTGCAGCATGTATTCATGTCCACACATTTCTGAAAAACAGATTTCCACTGAGGGAGGAGTAAGAAAAATATTATTTTAAACAGAAGTTGCTAAAACAACTTTATTCTGTAAAATATAATTAATTTCATAATTTAAATAAGTATTTGGACAGTTTGTCTTCAAAGTTGTTGCTACTTATAATTATGATGGATAATAATATAAGGAAAGCTAGCTCCCCCCACCCAATGCAGCCATATCCCAACAATGGGAGAAATTATACATTGACAGGCTCATTGAATGACCCTGTGACCATGAGGAATGGTCAACACCTTTTTATGTGGTACTGTATATGCTATGACACTTTGGTTTAAGAGATATAAGATCTTTCCACAGAGTTTAACTTGAGGCCAACAATAGCTGCCCTGTTCAGGCACAATCAAGATTTCAGATCATCGTCTGTTAAATGTAAAACTTTTCAGGGACAGACATTCCTGTAACTCTCTACATGCTGCTACAATGATGGCTTCTGAACCATTATTCATTTACTGCTCTTTTTAACCAATATACGGAGATTTCAATCAAAATTCACTCTTTACCAAAAGCACATTTTTGTTGGTAATAATATTGCAAAACACACAAGTCACCAAGATCGTAAGAACATAAGAAACTGCAAATGAGATGATACCTTTCAGGTGCCATCTAGCCAGTATGGTTATTAGCTGCTACTTGATCTGAAGACCTTGTTCCAGACCCCCCTTGAAACTTTATGATCATTATCAAGATCATAAAGTATCAATGGGATTTAAGACCCTACTCAGTATTGCCAAGATGCAAGCAGATCTGAAAGTCCCTAGAAGTGCTGTTAGCTCTAATTTCTAAGATTATATTTCTGTTTACTAAATGCAAAAACCATTTTCTCTACTTACAGGATATTTGGAATTTTTTCTCCAAAATGTTCTCATTAGAATAGGTGTCTTTGAAAAAGGCTTGATTTGGAGAACTCTTAAGGCACAATACTACATTAAGAGTTCACATTAGTGCACTTTTTCAGTAACATTTGTCCGGTAAACCTCTGACAATCTTACTTACTCTTACTCGGACTGAAATTCCCTTTCATTATGCATATTTCTACTGTTAAAACCATAGAATTCCACTTACTGTAAACAAAGCTAAAATCGCAAATTCATGCAGATTTTCTATTTTAACACAGTTTAGTTTTATCTTAAATTTAATTTTGTTAAAAGAGTTTGGTTTAAAAAAAATGTAAGCAAGAATAAATCATTTCTGAATTACTTTGTACTAAATATTGTCGAATATGCCAGACAAAAATGTTCACAAAAAGCATAACAATGTTGTACAAAATGAGAGCATGGGCACATAGCTGCTCTGCATGGATTAAATGCCAAAGCCTTATTATCTTGACAGGTCTGACTGGGAAGAAAATGTATCTCTGCATCTGATTTAAAACTATTTTTTAAACCTCAGTTACCTAGAGCAGTAAGATGCTTAGGGTCTGCCTTATTGTACCTGGGTGCCTGGAAATCTTTCAACTACGACAGCTTAATATTAAATACTGGTGAGTGTAACCCAATACAGGATTTTACCTAAACAGCTTTTACCTAAAAGACTGGCTGTACATATCTGTACGAAAAACAGCCTTCTGACTGTGCTTAACTACATATGGATGCAATAGTCTGTTCATGGGAAATAACAGTATTGAAGCCAGGTTATTAGTGTTATGGCTTTATGCTCTGTACACTTATTACTTAAAAACGTCTTGCATTTATTTGCAAATCAAGTTACTTGAACATATCACCCCAATAGTTTACAGTAATCCAGTACATCAATTATTACTTGCAACTCTGCCTGGAACAGTATTAAGTGTCACTTTACAATACTGGATCTCTTTTCATTCTGACTGCGGTAACCACTACGAACTCCCTAATTGTTTCTTTATTAATTTTTCAAAGAGAAACAATACCTTTTCCAAAGTTTGCTTCATTGCAGCTTCCGTCTTTGTGGAAAACACTTTGGAAGTGTTCTTCTACCAACACTTCTGCTATATGAATACTGAAGACTTTGAACACATTCAGGAATATCTATGTGTTAATCCAGGTTTGTGTTTAGTTAACTGTGAAAAATGGTGATGTGGTTACAGGGTTCCCCCTGCAGACAACTGCAATCTTGAATATCAAGTCTGGATTTGAATACAAGGCTTGAGGCAGACTGTATGCATAATGCATCTGTCCTCATTTCTTTCAGAGCTGTGTCATAAAAATGGACATCTAAGCCAGGTACTCAGTACTTAAGATGTACTTAGTCTACAAACAACAACACGCACATTTTTCACAAGACTCGATCAATCTAAGAACATCATTTGGTCTGTCCCTGACATACGATTTTAACAATTCTATTTGCCTGTATGCCCTGAAGACATTTCTAATTCACAACCAGCAGAGGCCAGTCTGTGATCGATCACTACTTAGAAAAATAATTGTAAAGCACACATTCATTTTGACAGTACAGTACACATTTTATTTTTTAGGTGTCTATATTTTGAAAGTACTGATGACTAAGATGTTCACTCCAGATAAGAGATCATAAAAACAGCTGATTCAATACATTTTTATTGTACTGCTTTCAATTTAACGTTTGCATAACTCTCTACAGTAACTCTCTGTTTTATACTAAACCAGTGGGAACACATTTTCTTCAAATTTTCAGATTCTTTAGTTATTATTATAACAACAATACAACAGACAACAGTTAAATCAATATCTTAATAAGCATTGAGATAACCATAGAATTATCTCAATCTGATATGATGGTGTAAAAAAAAAAACGTATCGCGAGGGGATGAGAATAACTTTCTAAGGATTTCTTAAAGTGTTTATTGGGTGTTTGGCATTCTGATTAAAACAAAATATACTGACCGTTCGTGCATCAGTAAAGGGATTATATTCTTCCAACCCTGGAGGGGCATTCCTTGTTACTTGTGTCACTGAAGGATCCTGGAAAGAAAAAAAAGGATACCATTATACACTGCACATCTTTCTCACTGTTACTAAAGGCAATGTTATTTTCCTGGACAAAATAGCAATATTACTGATATTTCAATCGGGCTCTGTCACCTACAAAGCAATCACTTCAGTTTAATTCACAATGGGAAAGCACTGAACAAGAAATGTAATAGCACACTCGGTGAAGCTCAGTGTTATTCCTAGGAAACTACTGCTTGATGAAACTGCAATTGTCTACATGCATCCATCTTCAGACCTGGATTTCTTCAAGTTGAACAAAAATATTGAATCACGCTTTTTATTGAAAAACCCTAATATGCGGGTTTGAGCTTTAAGCAAAAATGTCTGGAGCTCTCTTGCTTTGTCCAGAAGTTATAACCTAAACTTAACATAACAGGTAGGCAATATGTGAGTTTAACCAACATAACCCTGATCACACAGATGTCTTCCTATATGCAGTGATTTACTTTATGATACAGATATTTTTACATAGATTTTTAAATCAATTATAGCAGCAGGTGCTCATAACAATATATAATATAATGTTTATAATCTGATCAGAATGAGAAACCTAAATAGATAGTTCAGGTGCACCACACTGTACTGTACATGAACATGCACATGAACTCTAACATTAAGTGTTCAACATTCTTACATATTAGGGTCAAAATTAGTATTCACTTTTGTTTTCAAAAGTAAAGGTTACAATATGTGTCCTCGGGGAAGAATACTCGTACTTATCATTTGAGTAATTAGATGAATCAGAAGGAAACATGCCTTACCTTTTTCCCTACCCATTCATAAGGTAAAGGGTAAGCATACGTTCAACAAAGCCCAATAAAAGGCCGGCTCAACTTATAAATCTCAATTTGCAAAGAAAAAATGTACTTAACACACTGTTTGTTCCAAAGCTAGGTTTACAGTCTGTTATAATACTTAGGTCACATTACCTGCACATTTTGCATACCAAGTCAACTGCTTAATCCTTGGTCTTTTCCACACTTAGTCCAAAGAATTTTGTTAATTGCATTTAGAAATGTCTCATATGTATGTGATGTGTCCATGACAGCCATTTTATTAGGGTAGTTTATAATAAAGCTATCAAGACTACTACTATTGACATAATTCCAGGAATGATGACACCCAAAGAAGGCTCCACAGCCGAAACGTTTTCTTTTTTCTCTTTTCAGCACGGAATAAACCTATTAATCATTCGAAGAAAGTGCTAATAGGACAAAGAACACCACTGATATCTGAAGAGCTCTTGTGGAACTTAACTTACTTTTACGAACATAAAACACAAAATTGAACACATTTGGGCCTATATGTAAAAAAAAAACAGGCAGCTCAGAGAATCTAAAATGGTATACTTTCATCTTCAGTGATGTCCTGCCCATTTAATGAAGTTGTATTGTCAGAAGCTCTTCAAAGGTCTACAATATCCATCCAACTATATGACCTGAGCTACCCCAAATACAAATTACAATACAGCGGATGAAGCAATCATAACTACATCATGGACACTCTGCTCCAGGCTCCTCAGGATTAGGCTGCACATGAGAAGATGAAAGCCTCTCTTTTCCCTGTTCTGCTCCCCTTTCAAGGCCCATCTTAAAACCTCACTCTTTAAATGATCCCTTTAATGTTTCCTTGAAAAGATATAATATTACTTTACTGATTGGCTGGGGCTCAGTGATAAAAATATTTGATTATGCTGCATGTTAGGAGACTACAACCATGGAAACTACTCACTGACAGACGAATCTCCCCCGATAAAGCAAATAAAAGTTGTTTTTTTTGTTGAAATGGTGACTATGCTCTGAAATTTGTGAGCATCAGATAGGTTTCCAGCCCACTGGAAGAAGTCATGGGGAAAAGAGTGTGTTAATAAAATAAAATAAAAAAAAAACAATCAGTTCAATAAAATTCAATCTTTATCTTCCACCTGGCTTCTTCATAAACTGTGGCAGATTTCACAGGCAGCAAGCACCAGATTGCAGCTACAGGGATAAATCAGTATTGAACAATTACATTTCTTGACATTTTATAATCCTTAGTATTATTCTTCATAAAAGTAATCAAGTGGTGAAAGCCTACTGTTAAGAAAAAAGTCATAATCCACTGCTGCTAACATCTATATTACTCTCTTCCACAGTATATTTAAATCTAAGGCTAAGGCTGTAATTTAGAAATGACACAGAGGGAAAATTCTAATAATTTTCTCTGCAAGTCTTCTATAAATCTATTAATAGCCTATTCAAGAGTCAGAGAAGGGTAGAGGAATACAAATGGGGACAATATGCGACTGATGCTTTGATAGGAACCACTATGCAAATAGCTCATGCAGATTACCAAGAGGAACAATGCAGTGAGCCCAGCAGGCTGCCACACACGCCCAATTTCACACCAATGTCAGAATCTCTGACATTCTTATCCGCTATTTGATCAATACTACATCTTCAGCTGAGTGTCTTTGTTAAAAAAAAACAGATTGAATGGCTGGGAAAATAACATGACAGTCTTGTCATACCAGCATGTTAAAGGTGACAGAAAATTTCCAGCAGGATGGAATGTGGCTTCAGGCCAGTAACATCGTTCCTGATAGGGGGTGTAGTAACCCAGAGCTTTTTCCAGGATATTAGGGTGCAAGCCGGGACGGCACTGAGGACGACAGCTTGTTGCAGCGTGTGCACACTGACAATTTAGAGTCATTACTACGTTAAGACCAAGGTTGTATTTGCATGTTGGGAGGATGCCAGAACACCCAGAGAAAACCCACTTTCACACAAACTCCATACACCTCTGTCAAGAATCGAAACCAGGACACAGGAGCTTTGACACAGCAGCAATGTGCTGTTCTCAATTTTACCTAAATTACATTTTCCTAAATGGTAAGCAAGTTCACTGGAACAGCTGAAACACTCTGGGCAAAATTCACAGAAGGGCACGATAATGATATGATAAATCAATTATGTCACCATCTGAACAGGCATTTGTTCAAATACCCGCAGCTTTGCAAATGATGTTGAGCGTTACTTCAATGATACTGAGTTTGTTTTAACAGCGAAACGTTTTGCTCAAAAAACACATCCACGGTACATTTTTAAAACTGAAGGTAAGAGAGAGAGCCCAAGTATTTAGCCAGTGTCACTGCCACATTCTTTTAATATCCATATAACTTGCCATACCTACTTTTACAATGGATAGTATAAAAGCAGAACTGTACTTGATTAAGTACTGTACCATAATGTTAAAGGTAACTTGTCAAAACGTAAGCCCGTAAGGTCTCAAAGATAAACTCATATGTGTGCTTGTACTATATAAACATAATAAGAGTTATGAGAAAAATACTTAACAAGAAATACCGATAAGCATGCAAACAATGCAGATACGTTTTCAAATACAGAACCCTAACTTATACTGCCTCAAGGTGTACAATATGCAAGAACAGAAATACAATTGTGATATCAACGATTTAAACAGTTTCTATCCACATCAGAAAGATGGCTTTTTGTGTTATTAAATAGCTGTGGAAATATTAACAACATGCATACATTTTCCAACCACTTCATCCAATACAGTGTTGAGGGGGAGTCTATCCTGGCAAGCAAGGGGTGCACACTCACACCAGGGTCAGTTTTCACAGAGGCCCATTAACCTACCAGTATATCTTTGGACGGTGGGAGGAAACCAGAGCACCCAGAGGAAACCCACATGAACACGGTGAGAACATACAGACTCCACACAGATAGCATCAGCAGCAATGGCAATAGGGGCAGCATGGTGGTCCAGCAGTTGACAACATTTTCATTATACAGTAACTACCTTATCAAATCATTTATCAAATGTATGAGTAGGATGTTTAAATGAGGTAAAACCACCTATACTCATCAAATACATTATGGTAGGCATACATATTTATTGGTCTGATCAACATGAATAATCCATGCAGCTAACAGAATATTACTCTGTGGAGACAGACATCTCACTTTTGGCCTGACTCTCCATAACACAGTGTTTACATATCCTATTACAACAGATCTAAAAACAGCTCCATCAAGCTAGAGGTAGGTCATGCTGCAAAAAAAAAAAGTAGGTTTATTTCATTCCCACAAAATCTTAACTTCACAAAATGTAGGGCAAAGATTGTATTATGCAGGTGGCATTAATAGTTCAGGTGTTTGGTAATTAATCATTATTTAATAAACTGTGTTTCTGTTTCATTTCTGTTTCAGAGAAGCGTTTGCTGGAAAATAAAATATTAGTGCTGTACAAGTACTACCAGGATTGCTTCATGAGTGAACATGTTGCAGTTTATTCTAGGTGCACAGCTGTAAATGTTACTACTTGTTGCATAATCAGAAGATTACATTACATTGTGGGAAGTGAAAGTAGATTATGTTTTGAAGTGTAAAAATAAATATCTGAAAGCATATTTCAGCCATACTATAAATTGCTTTGGCCTGTTGGAAAATATTTACAATTTTGTTAATACAATTTCTTCTAGAATGGGACAGTTCTAAACAACAGTTAATTTGGACACAATTCCATCTTTTCATCCTGCAGTTCATATTCAGTTGCTTCTTGACACTACTGTAGATTGCAAACACTCTGATGCTGTAAGTCTGCTTTGTTATTTTTTTTCCCCTTCTGAAGCCGTGCTTCTGAGATCAGAACTGTCTGCACTCCAATGTCGATTTCCTTGACTGCAGCACATTTCGTACAGAAGAATAATGGACACACTGCTGAAAACGTACTCATGGTTGTTGCAGGAACAGCCTTAATGTCCAAGAAGCAGCATGTCAATCCAGTTCTTTGTGCTTGGTTAAGGGACAAAACATTGCATTTCACACGATAGATTTCTCAGGAAAATCATAGGAACAACAAATACATCCTGGGGTCACTATAATGTTTTACTAACAAGCAAAAATATTTTAACAGTATAAATCCCAACATAACAAAGGTTACAAACAAGAGAAGTCCTTTTAGCC